GAGAGAGAGAGAGAGAGAGAGAGAGAGAGAGAGAGAGAGAGAGAGAGAGAGAGAGAAACAGAGAGTGAGAATCTCCACACGGTTATTTAATACATTTGTTTACATACTGGCCATGTGATTGTCCATGTAAAAGTATGACAGGTGCAAAAACTCAACGACGAAAGTTTTTCAATTGGACTCACCCAAGGGGCGTATATAAGTGCTCATCGCGCTATAACGTTGACGGGGGAGAAACCAAAATGCTTACATATCATATATATATAATATATCTTTAGATTCTAAAGCGCACATAAATCCGCTTTATATCATGGAAACAATGAATTTACCTCTCGACCCGCGAGAATCAATTCGCATTTCACTTTCGACCGTGTCTTTACCGACCACCTTGTGTTTTACCGACCGCCTTTGCGCTGCGACCTACAAACAATAGCGTTCGAATCTGTCACGTGCGCCCTCCTTTGGAACGAACCGCTTGTTGACAAAACGCAGGTGCGATCGACCGAGCGTCATCGCATGCGGGCAGCCAGGCCCGCCTCGTACGTCACAGCACGTATTACTCCTTCGTCTTTCCGAGTCAACGGCCGACGCGCGCGCTCGTTCACAGGTCACTGCTGTCCATTCTCTTCGCATAATTATGACGTACGTTGATTTTACTAGGGCACTGGGCGAAGAGACACGCTGCGGGTCACGCACGTCGAGTGTGTGTCACCGCGACCACGCCCGTCCGCCGTGCAGCCCATGCTAATCACGCATCCTCTAACCTGTATAGCCGACGACGTGCTGCTGCAGGTCGCCTGCCGGCTGCGCAATCGGCTGCAATACGTATATAGGCGGCTAGAGATGCAGAAAGGCCGTTTAGTAGGTCAGTAGGATCATGCGTCGGCCAAGCGTTGGCAACGCTGTCGCAACACTTTCGTTATGTCACCTCGCGCGTCAACGTGTGTGTGTGTGGGGGGGGGGACTCGCGTATTGAACGCTGAGCGAACAACGTAAATATGTATAAAGCATTCACTTTTTGCGTCGTCTCGGTTGCGTTATAGGCTAGATACAGAAATATCCGTGATAATATCATCGATATAATCGTCCATAATCAATACAAATCCACATACCAATATAACCACTTATAATCGAAAACCATCCATAACGATATACGATGGCAAGATTTGAATATGTATGCATCACATGTGCTTAATTGTGACGCGCCTCAATTACGACATGTTGGGTTTGATATGAATATGAGATCTCTATTAATAACTCTTGATATGAATAGATGTGACTCGCTTCGAGAGCAAGAGAAGGAAAGCATCAGATGCGAAACCCGCAGCGTATATAAAGCTATAAGATGCGCGCGTCCGACCTCTAATGCAAACATCACTACGCATCCACACGAACAGAGTTAAAAAAAATCACTATTCGCTAATCTATTTGCTACTAAATTACGTGTGTGCGTGTGTGCGTGCGTGCGTGCGTGCGTGCGTGCGTGCGTGCGTGCGTGCGTGTGGCGTGTTGTGTGTGTGTGTGGTCGTGTGCGTGTGCGCGTGCGCGTGGCGCAGTGTTGCGTGTGCGTGTGTGTGTGCGTGTCGTGTGCGTGTGCGTGTGCGTGTGCGTGCTGCGTGGCGTGGTGCGTGTGCTGTGCGTGTGCGTGTGCGTGTGGTGTGCGTGTGCGTGTTGGTGTGCGTTGTGTGTGTGTTGTGTGTTGTGTGTGTGTGTGTGTGTGTGTGTGTGTGTGTGTGTGTGTGTGTGTGTGTGTGTGTGTGTGTGTGGAGGGAGGGGGATGTACCAGCAACGTTACTCCTCGTCACTGTTTACCTCATACCAGAAATATATCGCTACTTAATCTACGCGCTACAACTATATCTTGTATAGACGCTACATTTCTGCTAGTACTTAAGCGACACGGTTGTTGTTGCTCATTGGCTGCCAGTTGACGCGAGGAAATGTCAGCGACGATTCATTTGTCTTCATTAAAGCTTGCTTAAGCCAGTAGATTTATACCCACTAGATTGTTTTAACCGAGTGAGCGAGTCAACATGGTCGTTGGTGCACCATGAACCAGACGACATCTGAAGCATTCATCACACTGAGGGGGGCGACACAGGTCACATGTGTCATTAGTGTCTAAAGGTCATCACTCCTTACGGTCGCAGCCGAATTCTCTAAATTACCGTGTACTGGTTACGGGCTATAGGTAACCAATTGTTTAGATTACAGGCAAAGCGGTATACCGATCAGTATATGAAATTCTTTGCGGTGTATTGCATGAATGATTGCAATAAAGTTTAAATGCACGATTATGTTTAATTCTATATTTAATATTGATTATTTCAATCTTCAATATTTGAAATGACCATGTAATATTAACCCTAAATCCACGGCAACCTTAACCTATCAATAGCCAAAATGAGTATACCGTTTGAAAGAGTATTTGACGTGCCTGAGCAAAATGACAAACATCTACGTAGAGAATAAAACAAAAACTTTGCAGCGAATCATAATAATCGCGATACAGCATCTGGGCAACGACAGCACAGGTACACTTCGATGGACAGGGCGTATACGAAGAGCAAGAGTTCACGAACCATAAAGCTACGCGTGCGCCTTTATATATGCGGTGTTTACCTCGCTCCGGCAAAATTGTAGATGACCCATTATTTTATTACGACAGTCTCTATAGTGCGCAATATTTCGTCAGTCTACAAAATGGCGCGTGATGCCGGTCTTGAACATGATATGCATTAATAAACACGCGCGTTCGCCGATATCCTCTATATTCTGCGTACGTAAGCGTAACATAATAATATCACCGACAGTATGTAATTCGCAATGACGCACGAAGCTTATACGGTGATGCGAATGTTGTGGTTTCGCAAGGTATAACAGGTAAAACGCCCCACGAACAAAATGCAGATAGTTACACGGACCTCTGCATATAACAACCCCCTATCCGTCACCGGCTTAGATAACCTACGTAAATGTACCGCGATGTTGAACTAAATACGATCTGGGGATCACGACCGATGACGATTAGAATATTCAATTAGTATATAGGCAATCTAACTCGATAACTCTATATAATCAACTGCGATCTCTCTGCACCCGTTATGTAATTTATTTCGCGCGATATTGCGGCCGGGGGCTGACCAACTGACCAACACGACACCTGCTTACGCAATGAGCTCAGAGGCCAATTAAAAGTGGGAGCGAAAGTCTTTCTCTTCGTCGACGGCGTCCCGCGTATAACGCGAGAGTGCGTAACGATATTGGCGTCACTTTGACGCTATAGCGTGTCAAATTCCAGCGGGCCGCATGACCGAATCCCTGCCCCCAAAAATAAAAGTCCGTCGCGATCGCCACTTTCACCGCGTTGAATAAAATAATCTAGGTGGGCAAGACAATCAGCCGAAGGAATTCGACAGGTGGGCCACGGCGGTGACGAAAGTGTCTTGGCATCGACGAGAAATAAGGTCACGCCGGACACGTTGTCGAAGACCCGCTTCGCCTGAGTAGTATACGCTCGGGTCACTCGGTTGACTGACCCGTATATAACCTGTCAACCGCTATTGCGGAGTCACAGTTGTTCAGTACGAGTAGTGGAGTGTTACACGTTGGATATAAGCCAACCAGTTGACAACCAAGGTGAGATATCGTTTCCTTGATCATTTTTTAGCGAGTTCCAACGGACCGATATATATATATATATAATCTTGAGCGCGACAGACTTAAACATATCGTTTCTCCAGTATGCAATCTGCACGCGTTAGTTGTCTAGGATTAAATCTGCACTAGATTTAGTTGACGAATCAATAGATTTGTAGTTCTCAATATATTTGACACTAGTGCAGCAAGTGCAATGATATTGGAAATTTTAGCAACTCTTTCGATATAATTATTATGGGGTCTTATCACTGTGCTTTTTATTCTAATGGACATGTTGTATTTCGAGATTTAGCCGATGACCGACGGGTCATAGTTGTGTACGATTTCTTGAATGACTGTCGAACACTATACCTAATAATTGGCAACGAAAAGTATCTATAACTGAGTTGTTTCACCATACATGCTTCCTCGCTGCGCCTCTGCCCAGGCTGGTAATAAGGGTGTAAGTAATGCAGTCAACATGGCATGTAAAAATGCTCGGGGCACATATCCGCAAAACGCTACCGTATTCCAACCATGCGCGCATTTAATTTTGGCAATGACATGTCACCTGCATGGCTATCTGTACGCTCGCTCGCTCACGTAACTGTTTCCAGCGATTAAGTTCATTCGGTTATTATGCTAACGTCCTCTCTCCTTCATTGCAGGTAGAGATGAAGTCGATCACGTTGTTGTCGATCGCCGTTGTGATGATGGCGTCGGTGAGTAACCATAGTAACCGATATTTAGAATATTATTTAGCGCGTAGCAGGTGTTTCTGAGCGAGGATCTTCCGTGAGAGAACGCTGTGCGATGAAAGACCAAGATGTCTCACGCAAACGGAGCATGGTGGATGCTCTTATGCCACTGTTTGCGATTCAAACGGTTTCGTCTGGTTTCCTTCATCGTGTGTGAACATCTTATTTACGTGTTTTCGACCTGTGCGGATATGAATACGTAACGTCGCTTTACGTGTGTTAGTTATATATTGCATTACACAGGAGGTCTGCAGCTTATATATATATTTAAAGTAATAAAGGAGGCTAATTTACACTTGACTGTTGGGTCACGAACGACAGGATGTGGCGCTGTCCTATGGCTGAAAGCAGAAAATGTACATGCCCGTAGCGAGATGATAGTCATCTGATAGAATTTATGTATCCAAGGTGATTACAGCCATTGCTGCAACACTAGCTCGCCCAATCATGATTTCCGTCTTACTTGGGCTTCTGAACTAGACTTTGCACCCAGAGTGCGTTACAGCCCATAGATGCTTCCGTGTGTCTCGTGCTACCATCGTTTTGAAAAGGCGTGCAGGAGGAGCGAGCGATCAGTGACAACAGCTGTAGACGACTTCACCTCAATAACTGTTTTCGTATGCGTCGGCGTCTTTCGTTGTTTTCCCTTTGGCTGTGCGAGCGGTACGTTCTTCTTTCCTTGTCCGTTGCTCATATTTTATGTGTGGATTTCGCGAGGGCTTGCTGGAATCTAACAACGTTGTTATTCACTGCTTAAAATTGCTTATATCGCTAGCTATACTCCGCAGCGCCTAATCATGCACCACTGTCACTCACCTATGTCATGTTTTCGCATAACACAAAATAACACATTTATTCAGTAATTACCACTAGGACCAACTCGATTGTTATTTTTAATATTTGATCTACGATATATTTTTTGCATGATGTTGTCAAGTAAAAGATAAATGTAAAATTTAACGCTCAAACATAACGGGGAAGCGCTTTGGAGGCGATCTTCATTTGTGATATATACTTTTATAGCTAGAGCTGTGAACGTTTATCTGTCAATTTTTGGATGTCGGTAATGTAATAGCTAATAACATTGCGAAAAAACAGAATTTGCATTTACGTACAATGTCAATCCCTTTCTGGGTCGCATGTAGTACACTGCATTAGCCCGCTTCAGATGCGAAATAATTCGATGAAATGTTTGCGATATGCTCACCAATCCGGTAAACTGCCGTCTAAGACTGCTGCTGCTACTAATGTCAAGGCTTTGCGAATACTAAACATGTTCTGTAAGCCACTATGTCGGATACCACAGACATTTGCTTCGGGGTCTGTTGCAATTCGATAAGCAAGAGGTCTTCGTATATCGAGTAATAATATACTTGGTGCGGGCGTGTATTCGGCAAGCACAAATTCACTGTGTAAGTCGAATACGCTCACAGTCCCGTGAGCTTGTATCCCACGTACTTATATTGAATTCCTTAGGTCATTGAAAGCCACATGCCTTGGCGTCTGGTTATTTTCACGGATCAATCGGGATCGATATCGGCGATTTACACAAACCAAGTATTATTGGATGCGCAGGAAGATCTCTTACGTCGAAAAAAAACGTGATATCTGACCCCGAACGCTCTGAATGGCTGGCTGACTAGCAACTTACAGATCACGTTGCAACATCGCAACGCTTTAGACTCGATTTGGAAACTCTCAACGCTTAAAATTCTCGCTTTCGTATTTCCTCTTCCTGCCAGCGTGCACCCCCGCCTGTGCCTAATACGTGTTTGTGTGCATGTCTGTACAGGTGCAGTACGCCCTGGCGAGTGCCGGCTATGGTTTGGGAGGCTATAACTACGCACATGTCTACCAACCCAGGGGCTATGTGAAGTCCTTTAATACCGGATTCGAGGAAAAGTTCGGTCAGGATAATGCCTATTACAATAAGGACTACGGTCTCAACAACCAGCAATACTACAGGAACCTTGATAACGGATACGGAAAGGGATACGGGAATCAGTACAGTACGGTCGGAAAGGCGCACCGCGATCTCGCCTACAATCAAAACTACGGAGATCTCGCTCACGTTAACAAAAACTACGGCCACAGGAAGAACGCCAACGGAATCAACTATGGTCACCTCGGTGGCGGCTACGGGGGCGCCTACCCGAACCTTGGATATGGTGCTGGCCCTCGCGGATATGGGGGAGGACACGGACGCGGTGTATATGGAGGCGGTGTTGGCGGTCACGGAGGCGGCGGATACGGAGGAGGTGCCGTTGGCGGTCACGGAGGCGGCGGATACGGAGGAGGTGCCGTTGGAGGTTACGGAGGCGGCGGCAGAGCCGGATATTAAGGCAAACGCTCATTTTGATGAGGTTGCTAGGCGGAAAAACAAAGATATGCTTCGTTCCCGTGAATTCAAGGAATGAACCGCCGGCGCGATAGTCGACTATTATCGTGAATGATTCGTAGTTTTTCTTCACCCTTTCTAGCACGATCGCATTACCGCCAGGAGGCGCAAAATTCTTACTATTATTTAACTGTTAATTTAACCGCTGATAATGTTAATTACCTTCCGTTTTATCACAGCTACATGTAGGTGTTGTTACTGCGGCGTGTCTATACAGCACACGCTACGTCCCATCGTCTGTCTCTCGTCGCTGTGTTCCCGTTGACGTCCTCCGTATATCTTGTTGTCTGTGATTGTGCGTGACCGGCGTTTGTATCTGCTCGTTTCGCTACCGTTTGTGATAAGAACTGTCTAGTTCGTGTACGTTTGTCGCAGCCCTATATATTCGTCGTTCGTTCTCGTCTGTGTCAACTCACGTAAATCGCAAAGTCGTTCACGTTGTTTCCGTTCCTCCCTACCCATCTTGTGTCGATTGTCAATTATTGTCGCGTTATGTGTGTCATCATTTGTAAATACTTACCGCGTCTGCATGCATGTACGTCCTGCGTTTTGTATCGTGATTTTTTATGTACGACGTTATTCAGCTCACCTAAATACCATTAACACGATTGTTGATTTTTTAAAGTCTAAATTACGATATATGAATATATGTTGATTGTTACAATAAAAGAAAACCTGTTCGTTTAGTAGCAACACGTGAAACTATTCTACTTCGGTGTGATTTATTGTGAACAATAACAGTTTCGAAGTAGAAACGAGCGAGCGAAAGAGAGAGATGGAGGGAGAAAGAGAGAGATGGAGAGAGAGACCGAGAGAGAGGGGAGAGAACGAGAGAGAGGGGGAGAGAGAGAGAGCGAGAGAGAGGGAGAAAGAGAGAAAGAAAGAAAGAGAGAGGGAGACAGAGAGAAAAAGGGGAGCGAGCGAGAGAGAGAGAGGGGGAGCGCGAAAGAAGGTGGGAGAGAGCGAGAGAAAGCGAGGGAGGGGAAGAGAAAGAAAGAGAGAGGGAGAGAGAGAGAGAGAGAGAGAGAGAGAAAGAGAGAGAGAGAGAGAGAGCGCCCGAGAAGAGTGCACACGGGCTACGAGGTGGGGAAGCAGGGGGGACAAACCCACACGTGCAGACACGCACCAGCTAGATTACGTCGTTAATAAGAGTTCATTCTATTACAGATATATACGGTAGTCATTACGGGTGTCACTGGTCCGCATTCGAGACTAAGGTTTATGTCGCAACGTGACTACACTGCTAATGGCTTTATGATATAACGACCTAGCAGCAAAACGCTGCTATAGCTCCTACTCGTGACATTCCCGCGAATCGCCGGCCCGTGCACGGCAACCTGCCAGCACATTAGTCTCTCGTGTGAGCGTGTACAACCTCTACCGGGCGATGACCGCGATTACATAGTCAGTCACTCAGGTACGCCCAGCCTAGTCGTAGGCGCCACCGGGCATCGTTAATGCAGGAAAGGTCCGGCGGGTGTAAGACGTTACACGATCAAGTTGTACGGCAATGTGTGACACTGCGTTTGCCAGTCGAGGCACGTCTACGGCAGTAGCTGTTGCTCTAGTTTTAAGATTTACTTGACACTGTGTAATGTTCCGCTCAGCACGATAGGACGTTTTCACAGTCTACTGGCAGCTATACCCTCGATATGATATACGAAAAGGTCGATATGAGAAAAGGGTTAGGACATGCGGTCAGGTGTACGTTCACGTGGTTGTTATTATAATATACGAGCTGATGGGAAACTTTGCCGAGAGGTGGCATGCACAGCGACGTGCACGTCAGCTACGGAGTGGAAATATACGGAGGAAGATGCTACATTCTGAGTAAGCCCGCATGCTTATGACACGAGGTTATACAGTAGGGAGGATGTCTGTACACGACCAGCCCCCACTATTTTCCCACCAAACCAGGGTGAGGGTGTATATGTGTGGCATAGGTCGGAATGACCTGCGCTACTATAAGAATGGTCACCACTGCTAATTACAAATTACATCATCAGGGTTGGGCGGTTTATTGTATAGACATCCACGCTACTGAGGAAATGTGGTGAGATTTATTCTGCTGGCTCTATGTGCATGCTCCTTACACGGGTGGACGTATATAAGTGAATACGATATGAAATTATCAGCGCTGATAATTCTTGTGGCTGAAGACGGTGATGGTCTATCATTGATGATTATTTTCAGATTTTCAGATTAATTGTTCTTTTTCAGTTACTCCGAATCGGTATGAATATTGCATGAGACTCTGTGATGGTTTGATTATACTGCTGTGATTTCTGGATATTTTTCCCCTTCTTCCCTATACGATTCTGACATGTTTAATATTTCTCTTCTTGTATTCTGATTTGACATATACAGGTATTGCATGTGGATGCGGATGCATGTGGTGATTATAGTTAATTGGTTCTGGTATACTTGCATAAGAATCTAAGGTTTGAATACGCGTACGGTCGAGAACCTTGGCGACGTCTGTACAGTTGCTGCCGATCTGCTATCAATAATCTAAAATTCAAACTTCGAAATATTCAGTTATCCTCATTGGGTTATCTCATTGAGTGTCGTATAACTGATATATCGAAGAAGTGCGTGCACTGTACAGTTGAGCCGATCCATTCTCTGTCCACATTTAGTCGCGTGTAACCGTGTGCATCGTGCGATTTTCCCACCACCCACCACGTAGCAGCTGCTTCAGCAAACGTCGTCCTACAGCGTCTTTCCCCTGCTTGCACGTCACTTTCTACCAAATACCTGTTTTTATACGCTGTTCTAGTTTCTCGTCACCTCCTCTCCGTATCCCGCTCCCTCCTTTCCCGTCGTTCATATATCAGGGGACCGCTGTCAGAAACAAAGTTAGTATTAACGTTAGTCTTGACGTTAACTCTTACTCTTAGAGCGTTGACCGAAACATCGTGAAATTACGTGAATGGGAAATCCTAGAAAATTTCCGCATACCTGTATACGACGCAAAATTCTGTCAACGGTCCACGAGTTCGTGTTAAGACTAATTTTAAGAATAATTTTGTTTCTGACATTAGGGCCCGTTTAATTGGCGCCATATTGTTTTTTTTCGCGATCCCGCCATCTTGCCTCATTGCTAGCGCAAGCTTGTCCCTCCACTCCGCCATCACCGGCGATGCACACGGCTATCACGGGATTTCTCATCGCAGCACGTATATTTATCCAAGCTGCGCGGCGGGCTCGTGTCTGGTGCCTGCATATACGCAGACGCATTGCGCAGACGCGAGCCTCGCCACACGCAGCTTGTCTAATATCCGCGCTACGAACTCATCACTCACCGACACTCACACGCACGACTACCTTGCTTTCAGGCGTGCGGGATCTCCGCTAGCGGCGGCTACGGTCTGGGACTCGGCGGATACAACTACGCCCACGTCTACCAGCCGCGCGGCTACGTGAAGTCCTTCAACACGGGCTTCGACGAGCAGTTCGGCCAGAACAACAGGTACCTGAACCGCGACGCCGGCAGGGTCGCCCAGAACAACCAGGTGGTCATCTCGAACGGACAAGGAAAGGACTACGGCAACCAGCTGTACAGCGTCGGAGAAGCGCATCGCGATCTCGCCTACAATCAGAACGCCGGTAACAGGGTCGGCCGCAACTCACGTTACGGATCGCGCGGTAAGGGACTCGGCATCAACTACAGCCATCTCGGACAACAGCCGCACTTCGACCGCGGACCCGCCCCCGTTCCGCGCACGTACACCGTCGCCCAGCCCAGCTACCAGCCAGCACAGCAAGGCTACCACCATCAGCAGCAGCAGCCAGTGTACCAACAGCAGCAACGACCCGACGCCGCGTGGGGGCTGCTCGGCGGTCAGCAAGGTTACGGCGGACAGCAAGGTTACGGGGGATCGCAGGGAGGGTACGGGGGATCGCAGGGAGGGTACGGGGGATCGCAGGGAGGGTACGGCGGTAGAGTAGGCAACGCCGGGTACGGACCGCAGGGCGCCGGTTTCCTGCACGGCATCAAAGTAGGAAACTCGTACAACGGTGGCACCCTACAGGGCGTCTACCCTAGCGTCGGCGGTGGCTACTTGCCCGGCGGTGTTCTAGGTAACGGCGACGCGTACCAAGTAGAGCCATAGACAACCTCTCCGAGCGAGGAAGCGCGCTTTTGTATAGATATACCGCCATATCGTTATGTTAATTCGTTCGCGGCGTCGCCGCCGACACGTCTCGTGTGTAAGATCAATCGCGTCCACATTCAGTTCATTATCATTAAGTATGTATATTATAATCTCGGCATTAAAAACGTAACACGGCTAAAGTCATTTAACGTGAAATAATATACCCCCCACTCTACGATTCGTGTTTTTGGCGATATATATATATATATATATGTATGTATATATATATGTCCAGTATTTTGTCGAACATTTACTACTGTTAGTAGGTCATGTGATCATACGATTTCATTGTTTTAGGGCCTAGCTACTCATTTGATTATTTCTCTATTTTCACGATCATTTCTACACTTATTACGAATCATCATAAATTTTCTAAATAACTTTGAAATGTTGTTTTTTGTTGCTGTGATACGAACGTATTGTTATCTTAATTTAACGTTGTTAAATATAATCTCTTTTAAACTAAAGCTTGGTTTTGTGCATGATATATAACACGTACCTTCTAACCTACCTAAATATGCTAACCTAATCAAAAGACAATCAATGCACATCGTGCACTTATATGTAGCGCGCGTAATTTTCAGTGAGAAAAAATTATATTTCAGTGAATTTCAAGCAGATAGAGCTGTGCTAAATGCAATACGCGACGATGGATTGGACGGTAGGCCCACGAGTAGAGTGAATACTTGCATGCATACACGGACAACGCTTTACACGACACCTGTACAACGAGCAGCGAACATTAGAAAGTAACAGACAGAGCCATATTTACGTTTCTCTCGTTAGACGTGTATTGTTGATAGCTCTTACTTCTAACGACATCTGCGAACTATACAAGTTTCTTTCTGCTAGAATCGCAGTGCATGTACAGTCGGTAAAAGATACGAGGCCTCCGTTTTTTTTACCGTCTACCATGTGCGATCCTTGACAACGATATAGTTAGACAACCATTCCTCTTATTCACCATTGACAACACACACATATCACTTCCTATGACCCCCTCCTTACCCTTACTGTGATCCTTTATAATGCTATATATATATATATATATATATATACGCAATGCGCTAAACACTATATGACGTCAGAACGAAGTGGGTGTGTGCGCGCTGAAGCCGAGGTTCGCGGCACGGTCGCCAGAGGGCGCGGCACCGGGCTCATGATTCGCCGATCTGTCTTTCTAAGGCACAAGACATCGGTAATTTCTTGCACGTATTATGTATCTCCGCAGCTTTATGCACTTCAGCTTTCCCCAGAAATCTCTTCTGGTAGAATCAACCCGCACATCTACCGCACTGTGTCACCTGTTCCCTTTCGCATGTGCTATTGGCATATTGTACTGGAAATACGTGCTAAATTAAATGCAATGTAAATGGATCTGAGCACCTGCACTTTTTTTGTTAATTTAGTTTAGCTTTTGCTATTATTTGTGTAACGTCTAATGCTGCACGAAGGCAAACGTTTTACTGCTTCCTGATATGCACCTAACGTCTTTAACGAATGTATTATTTACTTGGAATTTATTTTATGCACAATTGATTTTATATTGTACTAATCATAAATTATTGTTTTGCACTATACAAGATTTGTGTGTATGTGCGCGTGGACGCGAGCACAAATTTACACCTGTGTAGCCTACGCATGGCTGTAAATGAAAACTAGACATCTAGTGTGTCTAGTATCACCTAAATGAATAACCAAACATTGCAATTTCCCGCTAGCGGTTTCAAAAATATGACGCCGTCGCATTAAACCGGGTTCTGTAAACCTACTTGTTTCAGATTCGCCCTATAGTGTCGTCGGGTAGTTTCAGGCTTGGAAGAAGTGGCCTGTATGATGTTGCCCCAGCAACCGGATACGGACGCGCCATTGCACCAGCGACCGGATACGGACGCGCTATTGCACCGGCGACCGGATACGGACGCGCTATTGCACCGGCGACCGGATACGGACGCGGTATTGCACCAGGGCTCAGATTCGGACGCGCTAGTTCACCGACTCGGGAATTCTCTAGAGGCTACGGACCGCAGCAGCCGGGATACGGACGCGCTATTGCACCAGCGACCGGATACGCACGCACTATTGCACCAGGGCTCAGATTCGGACGCGCTAGTTCACCGACTCGGGAATTCTCTAGAGGCTACGGAGCGCAGCAGCCGGGATACCCCGGAGCCCCGCCACCGTTCGACAAACCCTACCAGAGGGCGACTCTTGGCTACGGAGCCGGACGTCGGGTGGCCGGCAGCAGCGGTGGAATCGTCGGCTGTCCGTATCCGGGCAATGCCGGATGCGGTCCACGCGGAGCCGGATACGTCAACGTCGCCATCGGCGAACCGTACAACGGTGGCTCGCTGGCTGGTATCTATTCGAGTATCGGAGGCGGATTCGGCCCGGGAGGCCGCTTCGGCAACGGAGACTCGTACCGCATCGAATTCTAAATCGCGAGATATCGCCGCGAACTGTTGACGTCGATGGAAAAGTTTTGGGAACGCGTTGTTCAGGAGTTTCGATGTTCACGGTCGGAGTATGATTGTCGGATGTTCATTCATAGCGGTAGCTGTATAGTTGTTGTCGCACACCGACGTATACCTCTGTAGTAGCTTGTAATATCTATCGCAATACTATTACCTACGAGCAATCCATATCATCAATGCATGTCATCGTGGAATATATAGGTATATAGATACGAAGCCGCCCTCAACACACGAACACACACACACACGCACACACACACACACACACACACACACACACACACACACACACACACACACACACACACACACAACAACTATATATATATA